GAGGGAAACATTGTAGCCGAATGTGGAACAGAAGCCGTCAATGTTGGCAACTGCGAGGCTACCGTCGGCGCGACATTTTGCCGACAACATCAAGGGACCACCTGCGCCCAGCAGATGGTAGCAGGGTCGGTCGCCCACTGCGCAACGCTGCCTGGACATCTCGAGGCGATCAGCCACGTAGATCATGGAACTATCATAGTGAACGACGCACAAGTGACCATTCTGGAGGAGACCGGAGCTAAACAGAACATCTCTGGGACCTATCTGGTGACATATTCCCACCGGATCGCGCTCAATGGGACCTGGTATGTAAATCACCTAGGAGACTCGAGACAAAAAGCCGTGGTGTCCGCGATGACCCAGGTAAATGTGACGTCCCATCGAGAACGGCTGAGTCTACCCTTCTTGAGGGAACTCATCTTGAAAAACCTGAAGCACATCGGCCACCTACAAGAAGTGCTGACTGTGAGGAACACCACCGCATATATTCTCGCGGCGAGCATCGCAATTCTACTATGCATCATCATCTGGGTATTACTTCGCCGATTGAATACCAAAAACCAATGCAACACGAGACCCACCGACCACAGGCCAGGAAACCGACACCAACCAGGTACCCAACAACGCCGCGGGAACTGACAAGCCCCCCGAAACTCGAAGACCCCCATTCGCGGCCACCCGAGTAGGTCCAGCCCCACGACCAACGGGCCAGGGAACGTGGATAACGCCCGTGTCCAAACAGTGAAAACAACGACAAATATGCTGACCATGACTTCTGCTCGCCGCTCAACTGCCGGCAGACATAACACCGAGGTAACGTCGGTAGGCGAAACGGTAGCGCCCATCAGTACAACCGTACGCCACCGATCAAGAAGTCATTAAGCTAAAACCCCCCACGAAAACGAAAAGAACATGAACACCGAGAACATTATAATACTCTCCTCTGACGAAGAGGCGGAGACAAACACCACCATCACCGCGGAAGACGAGGAGGAGCCACGGTAAACACCAGATTCCTCCTGACGAGGAGTCGGAAACGGACATCACCAGCACCAAGGGCTCCAACCGCCACGGTACCACCCCCAGAGGCCGACCACACCTTCATCCTCCGCCAAGGCCGTCCAACCGCCAAGGACTGGCCAGCCGACCACACCTTCATACTCGCCAACGGAGACAGCACCACCCGGGACGCTATTCCGCTATTCACCCGTAGACCGGCGGGACATCGCCACCAAGGCGACCCCCGCACGCCGCCCCGACCAGCTGCACCGAAGAAGAGCCCCGAAACGGAGCCAACCGTGGAGGAGGAACCATACGCCCGCCGCGTCCACAAGGAAGTGGAGAAGTACCACTACACCAGGACGTCCTGAGGAATCAGGGTGACCCGGATCCACCTCACTGCGGTGGATGTACTCGTTCCCCCAGGACAGAGTGCGAAGAGGTACTGCGGGTTATACCGAAAACAATTTGGGACATGCGAGTCGGAGGAGGAAGGTACAATTCCCGGCCCCAGCAGGAAAAGGCGCCGCTACGATTGAACGCGGCGCCCTAAAACACCACCTCCTACCGGAAGAAAGGTGGGTGGGGGGGGGGGGGGGGGGTGTAATGAACCATGGTTCCCAATGGTTCGTCACAACACAGGAACACCTGTCTTTAAGTTAAAAATATCTCTACATGTATAACCGTATAAATAAACACTAAGTAAAACCGCAAATTTCCCTAAGTTACATTCCTTTCCCACGATACCGGTGCATATCGATCACCTTACCGGGGACATTGGATACTTGTTGGGAGGCGATTGCTTAGGTAACTCTCGATTACCGGGCAAAACCCCCCACATGCGCAAGCCACTCAGCAGTCTCCGACTTTCCTTACCGGGCATATTGGACACTGACTGCAGGGCTAATGATTAGGTAACCTTCTGTTACCGGTCAGCCCGTCTGCACGCGCAGACTATAACTCGGCCATAGATATTTATGTAAGAACCCTTCCCACGGTCTGGAGTAGAAATAAGATATCTATAAGACATTCATGGAAGGCCGGTGATCTATAAAAAGGCAGTCCACCAGCCATCGGGGGCGGCAGTCAGTCAAACCACCATACGCATAGTAGAACAGTTAAACATAACATAACCGGGTAGAATAATAATACGGAAGAATAAAGAAACTCATTAAAAATTAAAAGAACCAAAAAGTGTTGTGATTTCTATTTCAGTTTCTGGCAAAGTTCCTGGTTTTCCCGATAAAGTCCTCGTGAATTAGAAATATCTTGTAATTCAGGACCCTGGACAGAGGTATGCATCCTGAAATAGGACATTACAAATTTTAAAATTCTAAATAATAATAAGCTCAAAAATGTATATACTGACTGATTACTGGTATAAGTAGAGTCGCGTCCCCAGAAGTGATTCACACGTTCTTCTCGTTTTTTTTAAAGATTTATGGTTTTCTTTTTTTCAATTTTAAATGAATGAATTTTTGAAACCTGTTATTTTTTGATTATGCTTTTTTCAGAGGTTTCGGTTCCTTTTCTCACATAAATTAAGTAACTTAGATCTGGTTTAAAGAACATTGCCATTCTAAAAAGCTGATGAATGCTCTTATAAAGTCAACCTGAACACTTTGTAGCTTCAGATTGCCATCTGGGAAATATTAAGCTTTCAAATGCAAAATTTATGATTTTTTTGCTGAATTTTTTTCAAAATTTTTAATTTAAAAACTCAGAAAAGGTCGAAGGAAAAGTATATCTTGCGTCTTTATATATTTTTAAATGATTTTATTCAATTCTTTTTTTAATTAAAGAAATTGTATTATTTATTGTATTTCATATTATTTCCAGAGGTAGAGCTTTTGTTTTTCACATAACAATATTACGTTTTCGAATTGTTGAGCTACTGAGCTTTTTCAATAGCGTAGTTTTTCGATATGTTTATTAACGAGACGATGATTGTGGTCTATTGGTTTATTGTTGTAGACATTAGATATATAAGGCGATACAGAGTCGAAGGGATGACGAGTCGGTTGGAGAGTTGGCTGGATTCAAAACGATTGTAGACGCGGGGGTCGGTACAAGACGGTGTCGGAATGAATAGCTCGATTCCAAGACGATGCGCAGTAGCTGCTAGGTCCAGACTGACTCAAAGGGCTTGCGGGCCAAATTGCCCGTGCCCTAAAGAGAGCGAGAGAGCGACAGATCGAGAGAGTGATAGCGAAAGGCGATAGAAAGAAAGATGAAGATGCGAGAGAACGGCTGCATAGGCATGCTGCCGTGCGGGAGCATGAATGCGTGCATAAGTAGATGACAATTTAGTACAGCGGGCAATGCAAAAACGAACAATAATAAGCATTTACTCTACTGCTGCACCACTGGCTATAATCTATGTATTTATCCACTATTTGGCTGCGTAACCAAAACAGAAATTGTAATGAAGTTATGCGGTACAGCCTCTCAGTCTGGCCAGGGCCCGATCCACTACAGCAAGATTTTAACTTTTGCGGGACGCACTGACGATTAGATCCACGTGCACCGTGCATCCGCGTCCGGTGCCGCGGACTGACTTCCTAAACTAAATGGAAATAACTACTGTGGGAACTACGGTCCCTACTCCCACCCTATCGCACCGCTATTCGTTCCCCTACTCACTTAAGGGAGGCCAGCTTACCCTCTCTTGCGGCTCGTTTGGTTGTTCTCTTGTGGATCAGTGCTGTTTTCTCCTCGTAGTCGTGGGGAGGGAGGTAGGTACGGTCACTACAGTGGCGGGGCACGTGTCGCAGCAATAATCCGTTTTTATTTTCTTCCGCGAACACGTCTTGTACTTTTTATGATCTCCACTTAACTGCTTAGCCACACTTTCGACGCGTGTTCGAACACTTCTTTCCCAGGCAGCGATTCCGATCGTCCATCGGGATCACGCTGTCTCCCTCTTTTTCATGTGTGGGGGTGAGTCCACCCTCTGCCGAGATTCGCCGTCTCGCCGTTGCTTCTCTGCCCGCGCTCGGCTGCCGCCCTGTTGTTCTTGGTTTGGTTCTGTGGTCGCTTCGGTCGCTCTCTGATGTTGCTTCGGTTGCTCTCTGCTGTTGCTTTGCCCGCACTCTGCTCCTCTCTGCTGTTGCTTTGACCGCTCTGCTGGAGATGGCAACTGGCTGCAATCTTGTGATCGCTCCCCGGTCACGGTTTCCCCATACATTTACGCTGGTCTTTCCCCCGCTCGTCCTCTGCCACTATTATTCCCTATTTACAGCACTTATAACTAGGTAAAGAAAAATGACAACTTCACGCTAAGATAAAATATATACTTACTAACTATGGAAAAAATAATAAAAAACTAATAAAATTAAAAAAAATAAACTCCTGAGGTCCTTCCTACTCCTCCCTATATTTACACTATGTACATCCGTAATTTGTAAGGGCATTCCCTTACAAAATTCCAAATTGATTATTATTTTTGCGGTGTTTTGTTTCAAAATTCCGACTTGAAAAACTCAGGAAAAGTCCAAGAAATTTATAAAACAAAATATCTTAAATATTGTTTATTAAATTCTATGGGGAAACGGCTGAGCTAAAATTGGTTGGAACTTTTCTCCATAGAATTATATGAATATATTAAGCGACGCCTAATTATACATGCCAAATTCGTGCTTGCATTTCAAACAGAAGTGTCGAGTGATAGATTTTTTGGTGATTAGCTGGTCAGAGTCTGAGGCCCCTGAGCTTGGGGACCGCCTAAGCTCGAGGGCCCCGGTGTGGAACACCGTCTTGCCCCTACGTAGCAACGCCACTGGCTGCAAATAAAATTTCTGTAAGCCATTATGAGTATTTTTTCCCTTGAAAACACGTTGCTGAACACAATTGAAAATAATTCAATATCCTGAACTAAAAGTAGTTTTATTTAAACACTATCCTTTATAATTTTATTTAAACGATTGTGAAATGACATAATGAAATTGTCTAATGATTTATAAAATATTTAGTGGTTAACGGTATTTTTGCATCATTTTCATCCGTAAAGCTCTGCCGATGCGCAGATAATGAGAGGTTTACAATATCCTCTCTGTCATCCATCCGTCAGGCTCCTCCAAAAGAAGATTTTTTTATAGTGGGATGATATTGACCACAAGACTTCAGTTCAGTGAAAACTTCCGTAAAAAACCCAGGCTCTGCATTTATTTTTAGCATTTTATCGCTTAATTTATTCACAATTACTAGACACCTGAAATTAAAATGGCCAATACAAGAAAAGTATTATTATTTCAGTATTTATAAAGTTTTAAGTATCACAGCCCAAAAAGTTTGACCTGTGAAAAAAACCCACATGTACAAGTATACAATCTAATACATTGAACGTACAGCGGTTTTACCCCTGTATACTTAATATCCAATAGGTTAGCTTCGGCTTGAATTTTTATACTTCTATACACGATACTCAAGTGCGTCCAGTGGCGTGTGGGATCAGTGCAACGAATTTATGATGTTGCCCCACAGACAAATAATAACGCTGTGTGGGTTTACTCACTTGAGATTTTTTATCTTAACTCTTGGCTCTTATGCCTAAAGAAAAAACTGCTTATCCTACGGTCTTATTTTTATAAAAACACGCTTTTCCGCTTCGAACCAAACCAACTTTTTTTATACCCGTACTCAAAAAGAGTTAAGGGGTATATTAGATTTGTGGTAAAAGTGGATGTGTGTAACGCAGAGAAGGAAACGTTTCCGACCCCATAAAGTATATATATTCTTGATCAGCATCAATAGCCGAGTCGATAGAGCCATGTCTGTCTGTCCGTCTGTCCGTCTGACCGTCTGTCCGTCTGTCTGTCTTGTTGAGCGCCTAGATCTCAGAGACTATAAGAGCTAGGGCAACCAAATTTTGTTTCCAGACTCATGTGATATCCCACTGCTACAAGTGTATTTCAAAATTTCGACCCGCCCCCTTCCGCCGCCATAAAGAACGAAAATCTGTGCCAGGCACATTTTTAAAGATACGATAAAACTAAAAACGCATTATCGTAGAGAATGATCATATATACCAGACAGCCGAATCTGAATCAGATCGGATCATAATTATAGTCAGAATGAAGAAATTTTCAGATGCTTCCCCTGCCCACTCCAGACGACGACAACACAACTCATTTTCCATCTCGCTCGCACACTGTGCCGCGTTCAGCGCGCAACCCCTAGCGGAGGATGTAGAATCTGAATGGTACATGTATAATCTACATGTTAGATGTAGAATATACATAATATATGTAGAAGATAACAGATGTAGCAAAAAAATGTAAAATGTAAAATTTTTTTTTTTAATGCTAAAACTCTAAAATATCTTATGTTCAAAAATGTAAATACTGACTGAGTACGGGTATAGAATAGTCGTCTTTAGAAGCGACTCACGTTCCTTCTCGTTTTTTATAGATTGGGAGCATTAAATTTTTTTTAAGGAATTATGGTTTTTTTAAGGCAGAACTTTTTTCTTAAGAATTTTTGAAGTCAGGTATTTTTTTAATGCTTTTTTCAGAGGTAGCCTATTTTTTTACAAAACTAAAGTATCTTACATATTGTTTTAATGAAAAACGAGAAGGAATGGTGAGTCGCTTCTGGGGGCGACTCTGCCCTATACCCGTACTCAGTATATACATTTTTGAGCATACGATTTTTTAGAATTTTAGAATTTAAAAAATTTATTTACATCTTAATTTTTTTGCTACATCTGCTATCTACATCTACAATGTATATTTTACATTAACTGTAGATTAGATGTACAGTCTCTACATCTCCTCCGCTAGGGGGAATCCTCGTCGTGCACTGAACGCGGCAGAGTGTGCGAGAGAGAAGGAAAATGAGTTGCGTTGTCGTTGGCAGGAGTGGGCAGGGGAAGAAACTGAAAATTAATTTCTTCATTCTGGCTATAAATATAATCCGATCTGATTCAATTCGGCAGTCTGGTGTATGGTCATTTCCTACATACAACGTTTTTAGTTTTATCGTATCTTTAAAATTGTGCCTGCCACAGATTTTCGTCCTTGTGGGGGGCGGAAGGGGGCGGGGCGAAATTTTGCAATGCTTATAGTGTGATATGAGTCTGGAAACCAAATTTGGTTGTCCTAGCTCTTGTCGATCCAGGCGTCAAACAAGACGGACCAGACGGTCAGAGGGACAGACGGACAGACAGAGTGCTCTATCGACGGTTATGCTAATCAAGAATATATATACTTTATGGGGTCGGAAACGTTTCCTTCGCTGCGTTACACACATCCACTTTTACCACGAATCTAATATCTAATATACCCCTTAACTCTTTTTTGAAAACGGGTATAAAAATTATCACTAAGCATGTTTAAAGCCCCAAATCTTTAAAATGTGTATCTGGCTCGAAGCAGTGAAATCGTGTCGGGTAGTGTAATCAAGGGTCAATATTAAGGGACTTGCCACAACTCCTTCGAGAAGAAATGAGCACACAATGGTGTTACTTACAGGGCGAAAAGGAGCGAGCGTAATTATAAACTTTAACTTCTAGGAAATTTAAGTGGAGAGCTTAATAAGCTGAAAAGACAGGAAATATGAAACACAGGTATTTATACTTAGGCATAGGCCCCCATTCATATATATATTCACGAATTGGCCACGTTGCAGGGTGCCCAGCTTTTCACCCGGAACATACTTTAATCTTCTGTTCGGCTATCGGTTCGCGTTCCAGTATCTATTAAACCGTTGCTGCGTACCAGCGAATCCTTAATGACGCGGGTCTCGTACAAGACCGGCACGAGAACAAGTAAACAGTTCCGATTCTAAACTTTTCATGGCTCAAAGGTAGTCAGTCTCCTCAGGTCTATTTGCGTAAATGTAAGTATGTATGTAACAAGAAACAATTTCCAACAGTCTATCGATTCGGCTGTTTGCTGCTCATCAATATATATGTATAGTCGTACGAGGTTGCGTCAGTTACATATATCGATCTAGAGGCCGAACAGCTCGGAAGAACAAAACGCACTTTTAAACAAAGGCAATGCAATATTCAAAGAGCAATTCAAAAAAACCTTTATAAATCTAGGATACATTTTTGAAAAGTTAATTTATCCGCCAGGCTCCGGTTTTGGTAAACTTTTGCGTTTTCGATATTGGAACAATTCGTACAAATGGAAAATGTGTGCGTTCCAGTTTTCGTTACTTTTTCTATAGATAGTGTTTTATTCCCAAATTGTTTTGCGATATTTGTCTTGAACAAAATTTTTGTTTGGTTTGGAAATTTAAATATTTTGGTTAAATATGCCATCGTTTGTGATTGTGTTGGTGGCATATATTGTTGAAAGACAAAAAGGAGGAATTTTCATCTCTATTTTAGGTTTTGCGCACAGTTTTTGCCTACATCTTGCACCATTCACTTCAGTAAGAATTGTAAAGTATATATTCCTGAGCTGGGTATCAGCTGTTCTCTCAGTCCACACACGGTCCCGATAGGCAACTATCGATTCAAATTGTGTAAACAAAAAATTCCTGCGAAAGTTTTTATACCCGTACTCAAAAAAGAGTTAAGGGGTATATTAGATTTGTGGTAAAAGTGGATGTGTATAACGCAGAGAAGGAAACGTTTCCGACCCCATAAAGTATATATATTCTTGATCAGCATCAATAGCCGAGTCGATATAGCCATGTCTGTCTGTCTCGATGAGCGCCTAGATCTCAGAGACTATGGGAGCTAGGGCAACCAAATTTGGTTTCCAGACTCATGTTATATCCCACTGCTACAAGTGTATTTCAAAATTTCGCCCCGCCCCCTTCCGCCACCACAAAGGACGAAAATCTGTGGCAGGCAAATTTTTAAAGATACGATAAAACTAAAAACGCAGTATCGTAGAGAATACCCATATCTACCAGATTGCCGAATCTGAATCAGATCGGATCAAAATTATAGCCAAAATTAAGAAATTAATTTTCTGTTGCTTTCCCTGCCCCCTCCTGCCAAGCCACGACAACGCAAATCATTTTCCTTCTCGCTCGCACACTCTGCCGCGTTCAGTGCGCGAGCAACCCCTGGCGGAGGAGATGTAGATTATAAATGGTACATGTATAGTCTACATGTTAGATGTAAAATATACATAATATATGTAGATGTAGATAACAGATGTAGCAAAAAAATTTAAAATTTTTTTTTTTTAATTCTAAAATTCTATCATATCATATGCTCAAAAATGTATATGCTGACTGAGTACGGGTATAAGTAGAGTCGCGTCCCCAGAAGCGACTCGCACGTTCCTTCTCGTTTTCCTTCTCGCTCGCACACTCGCCGCGATCAGTGCGCGAGCAACCCCTAGCGGAGGAGATGTAGATTCTAAATGGTACATGTATAATCTACATGTTAGATGTAAAATATACATAATATATGTAGATGTAGATAACAGATGTAGCAAAAAAATTTTAAATTTAAAATTTTTTTTTGTAATTCTACAAAGTTATATGCACAAAAATGTATATACTGACTGAGTACGGGTATAAGTAGAGTCGCGTCCCCAGAAGCGACTCGCACGTTCCTTCTCGTTTTATATGAAGTTTAACATGAATTTTTGATGAGGTAAAGTTTGGGTGCCATTATAAATAAACTTATTAAATAAATTTTAATATAAGAAAATAAATTTTCACTTATACAAACATAAACTGAAAACTAAATTGTTCAAATTTTTATCCCTAAACTCTTCCAGTACCCTGTATAAAATTGGTATGTCTCCTACTGAGTTATTTCCAAAAACTAAAGTCTAATAGTCTTTTCATACTGGGTGCGTTTCCTATCGATATCGGAATAGACGCAATGAAGCAGAAAAGGCGTTCACATTGTCAGACGTGCGTCGTGAGAACAGCTGATTTGGGTACAAGGAAAGTACCAAATTTTGGGAAATCAACAGAATTATGAAAGACGACAAGAAAATGGACGAAACGGAATTGATTCTCTTATTTATTTATTGTTTTCAGACATTTCGTTGTAGAGTTTGTGGGAGTTCTTCTTTAAACCATAAAAACCATAGAAGTTCTTCTCCAGCAGTATCTTAATGGCCCCAGGGGTCACAAAAATGTCGAATAATAATAAAACAATCAGTTTAATGTATTTTATTTACGGATTCTATGTATATTTTTACCTTTTTGCACAATCATAACTTTTTAGCGCAAAATTTTGATTTTTGATCTGCAAGTTTTTGTTGTTATTAGTGGGCTGATTACACTACT